AGAAATGCTTCTGTTAGGCGAGACTGATCTGCCTAAATCAGGACTGATCTGTACTTTTGTGTCTCCAAAACGCACCAGATATGAACACAATGTGCAATTTAATCTTAAAGATCAGTCACATATTGTTTTGGATGTTCTGTGTCACTGTTCCAGATAAGACCTGATGTCTGAGATCATCTCACAAAGACCAGTGAGACGTAACGATCTCGTGGAAGTTATTTTATGCATGAGTACAGCATTTAAAAAATTAGAGAGATTATGATGACGAGATGGAGTTGGATAAAGTACCATGGCGATTTAATCCCAGATTAGAGCAGACTAAGATCTAACTTGACAGATCGTAGGAGCTTAACTCACTCGGAAAATGTTTTTAAAAAAAGACAGAGAGTTTGTGCAAGCTGCATCTGCTTTCCTCAAATCTAAAACACAGAAGCAGACATGGACTCGTGTAACGTGGCATGGGGACGGCATTGTGTTTTTCTCTGTTATTCAGAGTTATTTTCTCTTATACGGTGCAGATTCCTAGCAACAAAACAATGTTTCTGTCATTCCTGTGGTCTGAGCTGGTATGTAGATGCCTTGGGTGCGTGCGTGTGTGTGTGTGTGTGAGTGAGAGAGAGAGAGAGAGAGAGAGAGAGAGAGAGAGTTTGCACAAAGATCTGGAAAAAAGCAAGTGGAAAAATTTCATCCTGTTGTCAACCTGCATTTCCCTTGTTAAAAGCATGTTTGAATCCTCACCAAAAACACGACAAAGGATGAGTTATTATAGTGAATATATCACAAACACGAGTGTGTTAGAGTCAGAGCACGATGTTCGTGATGGATATCTTCTGAAAACTGTTATAAATTAAAGCAGAACAATAAATTCAGCTTGTTTATGTGTATCGGGAGTCAGCTGTAGGAAAGGAAAAAGTAAGACAGCATGTAATGCCTGAAAAATCAGGGGGGGTGTGTGTGTGTGTGTTGCACATTTTATTTCCTTGATTTAAAATGATTGCATGTCAGTGTGTCATTAATTCCTCACCATAATCAGGGAGTATTTTCCTGAGCTTTTGTTTTCCAAAGTGTTATTATTACTTTATCCCCAGCACCTCACAAGTGAGCGTGAAGCCAATCCAATCTAAACCCTTACAGAAAATCATTTCACAGATCGTCTTTTTCACGTGTGTGTGTGTGTGTGTGTGTGTGTGTGTGAAGAACGACGTGTGATCAGGTGGAAAATCACATGAATGTCCTGAAATCGCACATCATGTGATGGCATGTGAATAATAAAGTATGTGACCAATCAGGTGTCCTGCATTTGATTAAAAAAAAGAATCAATTGAGACAAAAAAAATCATACATGGAAAGTAAACTATAACCTGAGAGAAAATAATAACTTATAATAAATAACAAATTTCCTCAAATGACCAGAAACAAATCCCAGGTCAGGACGGCGTGGAAACCCTGAGGAGTGACGCGAGTGTTTATTCTGTACCCAAGCAGCAATGAAGTGAGCTAAACAGGAAGATCACTTTAATCCATTGCACTCAGAAGACAGATTTCCTGATATCCAATCTAAGTAGATCAGGAAATTACTGTTTCCTGGTAACCACATAGAAGTTTGCATAGAAAAACTGTCGAATTTTTTTTATTCATAAAGAGCAAATGTCATACTTTTTTTTTCAGGTCATAATTGAGTCCA